CTCCAGCTTGTTGAGAGACACCTTGGTTTGTTTCCATCTCTGGAAGCCAGCACAGGTAAAGCAATATAAACTATTGATGCTTCTTTGCTGGAGATGGATAAAACTAGCTATCTTCAAAAACCATGATTAATGAGAATGCACCACTAATGGAAGAAAACATGCAATGAAAGGAAAACAAGGAAAAACCCTGAATCTCTTACAGCCCAGCTTCTTGGGCAAAATGTGGTAGGGTAGGAAGAGGGGGTCTTCTTATCTTTCTTTCCTTTCCAAAAATTTGAAATCTTTCAAGCACTCTCTTTTCTGCCCATCCTTTGTACACAGTATGGAAATATAAAAGGCATCTGGGGAGAGGGCAATTTTTAAAATGAAGGAAAGAGAATATGCAACAGGAGTTTTCCTAGCATACTGGCAGCAAAATTTCGGGTAAGAACAAGTCACTTGAGGACATGCATTGAGGACATGCATTGAGGACGGAAGGTAAACAGGAGATAGGAAATGGCATATCAAAATGATGCTAGGTACAATAAAATTAGATGAGCAAAACATAGTTGTCTTCTCTCCAGCAATATAACTAAACATCAAAGTTTATGTGAGTCAAAACTCTTTTTTGATGTCTTCACGAATCCTCATTCCTGAGAGCCTATTTGGACTTATGCTTCAAAAGGAAGGTAAGGGACATATACTCTTCTTCCATAATTCACTTCTTCATTCAAACATAAAATTCAATCCTTCCACCACCTGGGTGGGAGGCAGAGGGCTTTGTTTTAAATTAAAGCCAATCTCAAATGACTGACCACAGTGTCCAGAGGCCACATGATGGCAAAGTGGGGAAGAACGAAGAACTTCAAGAGTCTTCATAACAGTTCTGAGATTGCTCCTCCTGCTAAAGAGACACAAAAAAATTTCTGAGCATCAACTTAGACCAGTACTTATAAGAATAGAAATACTGATGGATGCTGGATGATGCACTACAAGCATACATGGATCAAAAATTTGTCCCTTTTAAGAAAAGTTATAACCAACTCCAACTCCTGCTCTCAATTATTCTTTATTGAAGCAATGATCCCAATCTGAAACCCCCACCCCAATACTTTTCTTAATACTGACCTGAGGGGTGGGGGAGGGCGTGGAGGTAATCAGAATTCTACACATTTTCCAAGCTGCTAGCTATTCTCAAAGATATTAACAAATAACGCTTAACAATCCAAAAAGTGCAACAGGTAGAGAAAAGAATATTCTAGGGTACTAACACCTTTCAACCTTTCATATATTAGACTACTCACTAAATGATTAACAGTGAGCAAGAAACCCTTTTCCAAGCACTGTTGTTCCTTGAGATTCTTATCACTTTATAATCCCAAATATAGTGAAATGTTAATGATGGCTACTGTCCCCATTTTTATGCTCCAACAACAGATCAATAAATAGAATCCTAAATAGTAAAATCAAATGAACACTTCCCTGATTATTCCATAGAAGCTGTTCAACCTCTGAGGGACATCCTTAAATGGGCTGCTGTGAAATATTGACTAGGAAGTGTAAAGAGAAAACAAGGTGAAGGAAATCCTCTCAGATGTTATTTGGAATGGGGAAGAACATGCTGCTTGAAGATAAACTGGTTAAAAAATAATTGCCCAAGTTATGAAAGAAAAGTACTAATTTATAAAATTTGCTTTTAACCTGATTTTTAAAGTAAAGTTCCAGTTCATATGAAAACTGGCAATAAAAATACAAGGGTACTATTCCTATTATCTTTTAATCCTATCTTCCCACAAACTTTTTTTTGGGGGGAGGTGGCTAGCCAGTATGGCAATTTGAACCACTGACCTTGATGTTATAACACCATGCTCTAACCAACTAAGCTAACCAGCCAGCCCTCCCACGAATTTTCTGAAGTTCCCTTGTACATTCACATTTGAGAACAAATTATAATGATACAAACCCTCTATTGAACGCTACATTGTTTAAAAATCTAATTTAAACTTTTTAGTTTAATAAGATTAAAAGCTTATTGAGACCTGCTTTTCAGATCTCTCCCAACATAAAACATAATAATGAACCTCTTGAGTTGATTTTTTTAAAAAATCTCATGATAAAAAGAAGCTACTCTACAAGGCTCAATATCAGCCTTTATCACCTTAAAGCTAGTTTCACTGATTGTCCCCACAGGTACTCTGACCAATTTAGTTTTAACAGTTTAAAAATGAACATAAGGGCTGACCAGTTACCTCACTTGATTAGAGCATGGTGTTGGTAACACCAAAGTCAAGGGTTTGGATCCCCTTACCAGCCAGCCTCCAAAAAATTTTTTTTTAAAATGACCACAACATTGCCATTTTAAGCCTAAATCATGATGGGAGAAAGTGGTTTGATCACAAATCGACAGCATTAATAATGGGCAATCAAGATAACTAATGAGCCACCTTACATTGATTATCTGAGGGAAGTTCATGTTTCTATACCATCCTCATTTCTGTGACTGGACTAAATAAATAAAAGGCAAAAAAAAAAAAAAAAAAAAAGGCTTACTGAGGCATCAGGCAACAAACCAAAATTAGAGCAAGCAATACTATGAACAAGATAAAATACACAGAAATGGAAACACAGAAGACATCCAGGCAATCTAAAGATGTGAAGCAGCAATTGTCCCAAGAAAAAATATTATTTAGCTGCAACATAAAGGAAACCCCCAGAAATACAAAATTAAGGAAAATTAAACTTATGATGATCAGCTATTATTGACACCTCCCCAATAGCAGCCCAATCCACGGTGGCCTAAGAGAACACTGGATCTTGATTTTCCAACACTATCTTAGTTAGCTAACAAGATCACATGGAATGAGAAAGAATATCCAACTAGCTACGTGATTTTTAGCAAGAATTTTTAGTCTTTGAGAGATTATTCTTTAAAAAACAAAAAAAACAAAAAAACCATCTCACTCACTACCAAGCATTCAGAACAATCACAGATTCAGTACAGGACTTGGAGGTAATTCAGAGCCCTGGGGGAATGTGCTGGCACCAGGAGCAGCAGTACAACTCAGCCCAAGGCAGGGAAATCTACACAGTGACTGTCCACACCCAGAAGTGGCATCTCTGCCTGCTTTGGCCTTTGCCACCACCAAAAGACCCAGGTGCATGCCAACCTCTTCATGTCCACCATCCCACAAGGCCTTTAGACCACGTATGTGACAGACCACACCTTTGTCTCATTTCACTGCTGATGACATTTACTGCCAAAGAGCCCTAGTTCTTGGGCAATACTTGAGCAATCACAAGGAACTCAGGAGACTGATGATTCTGCTCACATCACCAGTTTCTGTTCTGAAGACTGTCCTTTGAAGAGTATCTAAGGTAACAAAGGAGCATGTGATAGATGGCACTATGTCAGCCTGGCCTCAGGGTACCCTCGCCAAGCTTCACTGTTGGGCTCTCACTCAACACAGAAAAGTCCCAAGCTCAGGATTACCCTTGCCAAGCTCCACTGTTGGGCTCTCACTCAACACAGAAAGTGCCTTTTTGGATGTGAGTCCTCTGGTGTTCTCCAGCACGGATGAGCTGTTCAACAGGAAAGAATTTTCTATAGCCCCAGATTCCAGACGGCCAGATTATTTCTATAGTGGCCTGTCTTCCAATTTTCCCTTGAAATGCACAATCTCCTGTTGCAACACATAACAGACTATGGTAGCTATGTTAGAGCTAATCAGTTTATGTAACAGTTTCTTCAGTAACTGGTCAATTGCAATTATTAACAACCAGTTGTCATCCATCTAACTTGGGTAGTAACACAGCCTACACCTTCAAATAGTACTGCCTTCAAATAATTTGACTCTAATGCAAAAAGTGTCCATTGGGGGAGAGGGGGTTCACAAAACCTTGATCTACAAACATAACCTCAGACTGGGTTGAGTTTTTAAAGATGGTTCAGCACTCTGGATCAGGTTTCTTTTCTTAACATCTGGTGGAAAATCTACAATGAATGCGTACTGCATTTTACCGAAAATTTTCAAGGTATGGAAGAACATGAGATCTAAATGCCAAGGAGTATCCCTCAGTGGCCTTGGGGGTGGGGTGGGGGGCATGTGCAAATCAGCAGCAGGTGCCAGTCAGCCTTTGCCTATTCAGGGCCCTTCAAGAGGACCATGTTATTGGATGAAGTCCAAAGAATCCCACAGAAAAGATAAAACAGACTGCTCTGAAGCTGAGACTTCTGAAGGAGTTATCTGCAATATCGTTTCACTACTCTCCTCTACATCAGCAGCCTTCACAAAGATCCAAACTACACCGGAGCTAGTCAGCCAAACTGGGTGCAGCCCTTCTGAGGAAGTCTTAGAACCATGCCGCAGTCTTAGAACCATGAGGCTTTTTTAATGGTCCTGCTCCTCAGCGCTCTGGAGTTGACTCTGGATATTTATTTCAGTTTTACAGATTTCCATCCAGGAAAAGGCAAGAAAGCAAGGCCAGAGAAGAAAGGAGAAAACAGGAAGAAGGACATGCAGGTGGCAAGGGGAAGTATGCGATGCATGCTATCAGGAGGGTCAGGAATGTCTAAGATCATCTGCGCAGTTGCTTTGCCTGTGTGTTGTCATGAAATGTATCATCACTGTGGACCTGTCACGTAAAAGTCTCTTATAGTTTGGAGAAGGAGTAAAGCTGTTAAAATAGTTGCCTCTATTTAAGGCTGACAAACTTCAGTGCATTAAAAAAAAATACTTAGAAAGCCCAGAGTGAAGCACCCTGGTATTCAAAGTTAAAAATTCTAGACTCTAGTGGGGTCAGTACCTCACTTAACCTTGTTAGCCAAGTGCGTGAATATAATCTTCTATTAGGCTCTTGATAGGGTATTTTCTCTTACTTGAAGGAACTATGAAATGCTGACTTATACAAATACTAAAATAGGTATCCTACTTATAGTTTAAAATTCTACTATAAACTTTTCTTCTGTCACTAAGCTAGTAACACTAACACACAGATTCAGTATTTTGAGAACTGTAGGGAATAAAAAGGCTCATTCCTTTGGAGTTGAGTAAACTTTCCAAAGTTTTGATTTTGACTCTCACTTAGACATTTCTGAAGTACAGCCAAGAAACAACACTGCTGTTGTAGTCTGAGCTGTAAAATCCAACAGAACTTCAAGGTGCCTTTGACAAAAACCCAGTTTGAGAAATGCTAGAGATATTTAGTTACTGTTAGTGACCACATAACTATAATTAATAGCTGAAATTACTTTATTAGAGAAAGAAAAAAAAATTTAATTTAAATAGTTTATTTACCGTATACTTCCTATTGGAAAGCACATGATTTAAAAAGCTCAGACAGGTTTTAAAGAAGCTAGAAGACTGTCTTAAAGTGTTTTAATTAAATGAGTATGTTTGGCCACATTTTAAGTCACCCTAAAACATTTCAGGTTTTGGGCAACAGAAATCTATTTAAACTTTAAATTATGTTTCTTCTGTAGTGGCACTAGTTTGTGTAAGAGGTGAGTTATGGAAGGATCATTTTATTTATGTCTAGTCAATTACTGACCTGCAATCTTTGTTGGCAATGTCCATGTGGGTTATTTTACAATATATACAGACATAGCTTTAGGTGGCTTGAATGTGGAGGTGGTAACTGATTATCAGTGGAGCACCATAAATACTGTTGCTGGGGAAAAAATATTGGTGCTCAGCAGTATGTTGTTGGCCACGAAAAACTAAAGTCTAAATCTAGCCAGCTTGAGATGGAATACTCAAAATGATGAGTAATTGAGTCTGTTTCAGCTTCTCTATAGAAGAGAATTCATGTTCATAGACAAAGATTAACTGACTTAAGGGATAAATTAAACAAGGAAATCTGTTTTGCATTCTAGGGCTTATTATCACATTTGAATTAACATATTTATATTAAAATTTTAAAGCAGGGGAGGAAAAAAACCTGAAAGCAACCACTGATCAATCCTACCTTTGAGTCTACTGAACTAACCACAAAAAATTGAGAGTACTGTATTAACTAAAGCAGTACTTAATATAAACAAAAAACTTCCATAACCCCACAATGTTTGAATAGAAATGGATTCTAATTTGATTAACATTTTCCAAACAAGAGAAGCCTAGGTTCACAAGTATTTGGTAGGATATTGAAATTGTTCTTCATGTCCCAATGAAATCTCTTATAAAAGTGAGAAAACCCAAGTATTAGATTTCAAAAGGCTTAGGTGTTAAGCTACATAGACACTATAGTTTCTTTCTTTTTGGTAATCTTTTCAGATACTGGCAGTGGGGTTGGGGGAACTTTGCTTCTTCCTTAACATGATGGTATCACTAACAACTTCATGATTGCTTCTAGACTACTGGGAAACAGAAAAACATCACCTACAGGATTTCAACAATGTGAAAAGAGAGAGAAAAGATGCTCTGGTTAAACAGTCAGGGGCTATATGAAACAAGCTTTATTTCTGGCTATCTGTCTGGCTCTTTCACTTGAGGCAAAAAAAGAAAAACACAAAACAAACAAAAAACCTAGGAGCAAATACAGACAAAGAAATGAATTAAACCAGGAGTTCTTACCCTTTCTTGGGTCAAGGATTCCTACAGGAATCTGATAAACTCTATGGATATCTTCCCCAGAAAAATATTCCTATAATAATAATTTGCATATAATATCAGAGGAATGTAGATCCACTGAAACCTATCTATGGACCCAAGGTTAAGAGCCACTGAATTAAGCCAAATCTGATTCAGCCCACCCTTAGCAGCAGCTTAAAATTCAGAGATTGCCTGCTGCTGGGGGAAAAAAAGGGAAGGAAGAAAAAAATGCTGCAGTTAAACGGAGTCAGGGGCTATACAAAGCAAGGCCACAAAGCAAGCCAGACAGCGCTCCCAGTGTGTCCTTACCTGTCAAGGGCTGGCTGAGTTCCGCCTGCACTTTACCCTTCGCTGATCCTTCCAGAGGTAAACCTCTGTCCCCTTTGTAGAGTTTCGGTTTAAATGGAGAATCTTTCTCTTTACCTTTTGATCCTTTAGGCCGGCCTGCTTGCTTCTTCTTGGATTTGCCATCCCCCTTCACACCCAGTAATGGATGGACTTCTGCAGAAGGACAGATAGGCATGGAAAGGAATCCACACGGTACCAGTCCGATTACCCCAACCAGAACTCTGTGAGCAAAGAACACTGCTTGTATGTTCCAGATCCACTAACACAAGGAGAAAAGTTTGCCTTGTTTATTATTTATAAAACTATGAAAGAGTGGTGACTAAATGAGAAAAAGTTGCTTGGCCAAAAGGCCCACACAGCCTATATGGTTCATACCAAGACAGAGCAATTCCAAATCGAAAAAGTAGCAGAGGCACTGGCCAGTTAGCTCAGTTGGTTACAGTGCAGTGTTATAACACCAGGGTCAAGAGTTTGGATCCCCTTACCAGCCAGCTGCCAAAAAAAAAAAAAAAAAAAAGTAGCCAAAAGACACACATACTGTATCAAATCAATCTAGAACAGGAACACACACACACGCACACACGCATGTGACAGCAGAAGTGAAATGGGCTTTGGAACTAAAACCAGGGCAAGAATCCCGACCCCACAACTTCCTGTGAGACCTTGGGCAAGTTACAAGACCTGTCACACATAACCTCAATCTAAACTTTCTCCTTTGGAAAGCAGGGATAGTAAAACAACTTGCAAGGTTGATGTAAGTCAGCAATTGTATATAAACCACACAACAGTGCCTGGAACAGAGCAGATGCACAATCGGTATTATCAGGGAAATGTGCACTTGCATAATTAATGGATCTGTAGTTAGCCAAAAGAGAAAGGAAGATGCCCAATAGTAAACACACGCACAGTCACATACCCCCATCTATGCATCCCTACCCATCCCAAGACATGATCATAAAGGTTTCCAGAGTCAGACTGTAAAAGGAGGCAGGAAAAATTAAATGATCGTGCAGGTCTGACTAGTACTTTACCACCTAATAAAACCATGAAAAAAAAAAGGGAAAAAATAAAGAAAGAAAGAATGATATAAAGTAAAATAATTCTAAGCCAGGTGTCAGAAGACTTAAAGTGTGTCATCTTAGGCAAGGTACTATAAGGGCATTTCCCCATTTTAAAAGACAAGTGAAGGGCCGGCCCGGTGGCGCACTGGATAGTGCGCCGCTTGGGAAGTGCGGCGGCGCTCCGGCCCGAGGGTTCGGATCCCACATGTGGACCGGTGCCCGCTCACTGGCTGAGCGAGGCGCGGGAGCAACACCGAGGGTTGCGATCCCGTTGCCGGTCCCCGGTCCGGTACGGGGGCAACACTGAGGGTTGCGATCCGTTGCCGGACACGGAAAAAGACAAAAAGAAAAAAAAAAAGACAAGTGAACACAGACACAATCATTACAAAGTTGTAAACCACTGTAAAAAAGACTCATGGAGGGCCGGCCCAGTGGCGCACTGCTACAGTGCACCGCTTGGGAGCGCGACGGCGCTCCTGCCAAGGGTTCGAATCCCACATACAGACCGGTTCCCGCTCACTGGCTGAGCGAGGTGCGGGCGCAACACCGAGGGTCGCGATCCTGTTGCCGGTCCCGGTCCGGTACGGGCGCGACACTGAGGGTTGCGATCCGTTGCCGGTCATGAAAAAAGAAAGGAAAAAAAAAAAAAAAAAAAAACTCATGGAAAAATTCCTTTAAGGTACAATAATTCAAACAGGAAATTACCGGATTGTGCTGAAGAGTATAAAGTGGCATCTGTCAGGCAACAGGGAGAAGATGCAGCTCTTACCATCATTTGGTACTCCTTGAAGTTCTATATTGGTTGTTTTGGGTTTCTTCTTAGGTGGCTGGGACCCATCTGCTGAAGACTGCCTCTTCTTCTCTGAACTAGCCCCTTCGTCCATCAAGGAGGTTTGGACTGCATCCGGCGGGGGGCCATAAGGATTTTCTTCTGGGTCTTCTACCTCAGGGGCAATGGGTAAATACAATAGAGCCTTTGAATCTTCCAGCTCTTCATCACTATTTGGAACAGGATCAGACAGGGATTGGAAAAAAGAGGAGATAGTTGCTTAAACCACGAGCCCTTCCTCTATCACTTATAGTAAGCATAAGCAACAGGTATGGATCTGGAACTTCAAGAAAGCCAAGATGAATAAAAGGAAATCAGACAACATGATTAATAAAATCAGTAGTAAAAATAAACAGAATAAATGAATTATTTCAGTTCCTTAAAATTCTCTGTCAGGGAGAAGGAAGGGAAAGTAGGACTAGAGAAAGACTACATTTTGTTTCTTGTACACCAAAGGAGTTATCTCTTTTAGCTTACAAGCAGATGGGACTGAAGGGATAGCCAGGGGAACCGAGAAGTGCCCCAGCATGGGCTAAGGAGGACCAGCGTCCTAGATGCCCAGTCTTCTGTGCTGGCTCACCTGCTACAGAAGGCAGCAATGGGGTCCACGCTAGTGACATCCACTTCCTCATCTTCTGCAGCATCAGCTCCTGCAGGACAGAAACACGGGAGACAGTTGAGAAGAAATGGAAAACCACTTTTTACTTACAGCTTAATGACTTTCATAAAGTGAAATTCAGGAGAAACAAACGAGAAAAACCAAACAGTTCATTTTACTTAATTGTTTAACAAATATGTGCTGAATTTCCACCATATACTAGGCACTGAGAATAGAGCAATGACCAAGAAAGTAGGGAATGGTTCTTCAGTAAAAGCTTCACAGTCTAATTGGGAGACAGATACACACAGATAATTTCAATTTAATACAGTAAGTGCAACGTGCTTAAGAGATGACAAGGAGGAACAATTTATGTGGAAGCCTTGGAAGGCTTCACAGAACATAATCCAACAATGCCTATATGATTCAGAACATTCTGCATCCCTGGAAGCCTTTCCTAAAACACATGAGGCATGCAAGTCATCTAATAACACAAAAGTGAGAACCAGCATTTTCAAGCTGGAGAGAACTAACCTCAGTCCTGATTCCTTAATGCCTGGCACCATCAAGTAGCCCAGGAGTCAATGATCTGTGGCATTAATTGCTCACTGACAGTGCCAACCGAGCATCCTAAGCATTCACACACACGAACCCCTACTACGTGTAAAACCCTGTGTTAGACACCATGGGGAAAAATAGTCAAATCTTTATTCTCAAGAAGCTCCTATCCAGAAGTTCAGAAGAGATAAAAATAATGATCACAGTCATAATCATAACAGAAAATAACATCTGAGTACTTATTATTATACTAAGTGCTTTACATGAATTATTTCATTTATTCCCCACAACCCTAAAAGGCTTGTACTATTATTACCCCTACTTTACAAATGAGGAAATTCAGGTTTAAGTATTAAGAATAAATATTTTGCCCAAGGCAGTCCGAAGCAAAAGTCTGTGCTCTTTGCCCTTCTCTTCCTGACAAAGAAATGACACAACACATGATACAAGCTGAACACCCATACAAGCATGGGTGGCTGCTTTGCTAGGTGCTGCAGGTAAAAAGCCTCACTTAATCACCTGCAATTAATCAGGAAACACAAAGTTAAATGTCAAGAGTGCTGCCTGAGTCCTGGTAATGCTCTTATAAGCTCTTTAATGCCTTATAAATTAAGACTCTCCAACACTGAAAACTGTGTAAGCTTAAAGAAAAAAATGACATTTAAATAAATTTACAAAACAAGTTAAGAATATTAAGTAATTATTTTTTCTTTAGGAAATACTACCTGCAATTGAGAAATATTACCTGTTTGCTCAGGCTCACTCTTATCTTCATCTTCAATATCAAATTCTGATTCCCTTTCCTCATATTCTACATTTTCATCCAACTCTTTGAAATCTGGTGCAAATGCACTCCAATTTTCCTATGCCACAAACAAAATATACTACTTAACCATATGAGAAAGTAATAATCTGTAATCTAGATATTAATTATATAAATGAAAGATATGAACATGAAAGAGACTCGGAATTCTGAGATTAAATTCGACAGATAAGAATAAAAATTAGTTATCTATAGGTTTTACTATATTAAAATATTTCCTATCTTAACCATTTCAAGTTATTAACTGTAGCTCTTTCATAAATAACTGCCTTCTTTACTCTTTCTGAAGTGTAATTTTGAGATAAAGTATTAAATTTTCTTATGAGTACCCTAATTACAAATATAGTTTAAAGGTGTTCAAAGTAAAACCAACATGAAAAACAGAAACTGAGCTAAAAATTTAAAAAGCAGAAGAAAAATATATCTCAAATTAGTTAATAGAAGAATGTAACCAAAAGTACACTAGACTTTCTCCCTAAAAACAGAGCTGGTAAACCAGCTTGGGACCAAGACCTTCCCATCAAAATAAAGTGAAACTAAATGCACTAAGCCTATTTAATTAGGTAGAAAGAATTACATGCAAAAGAAAGTAAGTAAGGTAATTTTTAGCTTACTATGACTAAGGCTCTTTCATAAAAAGGAGTATTCTAGTTTCAAGCAAGTAAACCAAAAATACTTACTACTTGATTTTGTGCCCAGATAGATACCACTCCACTAGAAATGGATGCTATGATGGGTCGAACAGGATGCCACTAAATTTTAATGAAGAAAAACAGGCTGTAAGAACAGAGTCAAGATTTTCTGGATTACGTGAGTAAAAACAGCAACAACCCACTCTACTCACAGCTACATCCAAGAGGAGTTCTCCTCTCGTCCCATGAAGAATCTTTACCAGGTTGCCAATGCTCTTCTCCCAGATGTACAGGGCATGCTGCCGGGCAGACCCTGCCACTATGTATTCCCCATCCCCAGAGAAACAACATTTCTTCCATGGGGTCCTAAAGGACAAAGAAAGCACCCAAGAGGTCCTTCTTAGAAAACAGATATGGCTTTTCTCTCTGTATTTTACTTCCCAAAAGTAAATTTAGCCATTAGCCTGGATTTGAATCCAGGTATATACAACCCAAAGAACAAATGCATTGTTCCGTGACACACATGGACATTAATGAAATCAACTTTAACCACTGTATGGTGAACTACACATCACGAAAAGCTTGATAATATAGGCTAAGGGATAACCTGGAAAAAAGCACACAATTCTCTCTAGCGTGTCCTGAGGGTTCTAACAAATCCCAGTCCTTAAAAAGAGATCAGCCCATTTATTGTGTCTATGAACAAAATTGACAAGTGGTTCATCTAGGCCACCTTTCTTCTACTGTCCATCTCCAGCCATCAAAAGCTATTCCTATCCAAATCTCATGTTTCTCCTTGAGACAAGATTTGGCTTATGGTTGTCCTGACATCAGTGTTTCCTTTTGGACCATGGCTTTTGGGATCCCTGCCTTCCTATGCAAAGGAAAGCTAGAGGAGCTGGGTTAGATCTCCAGTCATCACACTAATTGGATGGATCTAGTAACAACTCAACAGCCCTAGTCAGTGAATAGAGCTCAGATCTTTCACAGTACACCACCATGTCCCACCACTCCACCCCCATCACAGCAAAAGCAGTTTCTCACTGCTTCCTCTAGCAATCTCTCATTAGCTTAATTATCCCTTAGTACAGGCAATGGAAAGGGATTCGTATAACTTCGTCTAATGTATGCTATACGAAGTTATTACTGTAAAGCGACACAAAAAAATGACTGCATTGTGTAATGTTGAATATACTAATTATTCTGCTTTGAGCATCACATATTGCACACAGGTATTGATATTCAACACTGTACCTCATGGATATGTACAATCAATAATGTTTCAATAAATGAAAAATAATAACAGCTAAACTTTAACCACTGCTTACTACGTGCCAGGCTTTTGGGTTCTAAGCACTGACCACTCAGATATCTCGTCTGTAAAGGAACTAATTATCTGATAACCTCCAGATAAGAAAGATGTGACTACTCGTCCAATGCAAGCAATTTTATGAACTGAAGAGCCAAATATGGAGAATTTCTAACAACTTTAAGTAAACTATTATTTTTTTAAGTTTAGGCACAATGTACACAAAAACTGCAATTCTCAATGTATCTTTGCATTCTACTCGCTTTTAAAACTGTCCCTAAGGTCTCACTCACCTCCCCTTCCGGGCAAACTCAATTGACTTAATGGCCGTGGTATTGCTTGTTCCAGTTGTTACTCTGAAGGAAGCAACAAGGTCCTGAGAATCTGTTTTTAGGACCAAAATCTAAAGTTTAAAGGAGGAAAAAACAAAGTAAGGATACCAATAACCAATAGTGATTAGATCAGGCTTCTGTCTCTAAAATTGGGCAGAAATTGGGTAAAAGCATAAACATCTCTATTCCCACGTATGCAACCTGATTAACTGGGATTGCCTTTTAACTCTTCAAAGAAAAGACAGGTCTTAACATAATAGTGATTAGATCAGGCTTCTGTCTCTAAAATTGGGCAGAAATTGGGTAAAAGCATAAACATCTCTATTCCCATGTATGCAACCTGATTAACTGGGATTGCCTTTTAACTCTTCAAAGAAAAGACAGGTCTTAACAATCTATTCTTAAAATACGATGTTTACCATTATTCATAATAGCCAAAAGTGGAAGCAACTCAAGTATCCTCACAGATAAACAAAATGTGGTATATACATACATTGACTATTACTGTGTCTTGAAAAGGGGGGAAATTCTGACACATTTAACAACATGGATGAACCCTGAGGACCTTATGCTAAGTGAAATAAGACAGTCACAATAGCGCAAATACTGTATGATTCCACTTATATTAGGTCCCTAGGGTAGTCAAACTCACACAAAGTAAAATGGTGGTTGCCAGGGACTAGGGGAGAGCAGAGAATGGAAAATTATTGTTTTATGGGTACAGAATTTCAGTTGTGCAAGATGAAAAGAGTTCTGGAAATGGATGGTGGTGATGGTAGCATAACAACTTAATACCAATGAATTGCACACTTAAAAACAGTTAAAATGGTTAAGTTTTATGTTATGTGTATTTTACCACAACTAAAAAAAAAGTTGTCAGTTTCTAAAGTAGTCATGAAATTATACTAGCTCATGTACCTCAGTCAAAAAAGAAAAAAAAATAAAGGTGTCTAATGAAACTACAAAATCTAAGCATGAAAAAAACCTTTAGACTCGACTAACCTGACTTCTTATTCCACAAAAGAAACACCTTCTACCATGTATCCCAGACAAAAGGGACTATACCTTCCAAACATTCCAAAAGGCAAAGTCAGAAGTTTAACAGGAAGGAAAAAAAAGGATAATAAAGTCTGAGTATTACAGGTTAAGCTGGCCTAGATTATACAGTATTTTATAAAAGTGGATATTAAAACATTTTCATAAGCAGTATTCCAGTTGATAACATGACTTAAATTTTATAATCTAATAATAACCCTTCTTCATTACTAGCATCCAACAAAGGCCCTTCCATCTTCTTCTAGGTCAAATAATCTCTGACCACTCTAAATCCAAAGAACAGCAAGAAAGAAAAATACACTACATTTATTACAGGCAGGAGCCATGCTTAGTCTAGGGATAAAAGAAATTTCAAAAGAAGTACCACAAGTAAATATGAAATGAGCCAACACACAAGACAACTGATCCTTATTATACCAACTTCTAGGCTTACCTTGCCTTTTGCATTTCCTGTATAGATATATTCCCCTCGCCTATCAAAAGATGCCACCACGTTCAAATCGGAGTCATCATCTACCGGCAGAACAACATGTTTGGAATCTGAAAGGGTCAACATGACAGGAGCAGATTTCATGGGACACACGAGAACCTTGTTCCTGTTTAAAAATAGGAACAGTACATTGGCTGTTGCTTTGTATCAGCAGGCTGATCCCCTGTACTTTTTCCTGATCTCTGTCCACTACCCTCATCAATTCTCCCAGCCCAAGCAAATCTGAAATAGTGAAAAAGCATAAAACATACATATCTAATAACAGGAAAAATGATGGGATCCTATCTTGATGAAATAAAATGTAATCATTAAAAATAAACAGGAAGATGTAGCAAACTAAAAAAATATGAAATACAGTGAAAAAACAAAATACTGATTACGACTACGTAAAAAAAAGCATATTTATGTACATCTAATATGTATTGAGCTATAAGGTACTATATAATAAGTTTTATACTTAAAAGGGAACTTGACTAAAGGAGAACCTAGAGAAGATGAAAACAGTTGTGTCTGGATAATGAAATGGTGGGTAACTTTTTCTTTAAGGTAGTGTTAATATTGAAGTGTTTCCCTTTACTAAAGAAATATAAATAATCAAGGGGCAGAAGTCCCAGTTATACTTATTCCCACTTTTGCCCATTTCCAAAGTCTTAATATTAGCCAGTTTTTAACTATGTAACACAGTAACACTCTCCTTAAAAGATATATTCAAGGGCTGGCCAGTTAGCTCACTTGCAGCTCACTCTGTTAGAGCATGGTGCTGATAACACCAAGGTCAAGGGTTCAGATCTTCCTACTAGCCAGCCACAAAAAAAAAAAAAATCAGTAGAGCCAGCCGAAACAGAAATATTATTTTATATGGAAGGTGTGAAGAGATGTGTGCATTTACCTCCTAAAACCTTAAACTGAAATTGTCATGAACCCACAGCTAATTAATCCATATAGAATCGGACCCCACCCCAGGAAAGGAATAGCTTAGATTAAACATACTGATCTCGTGGATGATACTGGACTTTTAAGATGGGTGAAGGGAATCGAAACCTCTGGTCACAGTCGCCTGAAAGAACGTCCCACTGTGACACTATGTTATCAGTGGAAGCACTCACGAGCTTATGGCCATCTCGACTCCAGCTAGGAAGAAAAATGGGTAATTTAGCACATATTCTAAATTAAAGTACATCATACCACTCCTTCAGATAAAATGTGTCAAATCCACAGCAAGCTTTCCCAACTAAGCAATAAAGAAGAATGTTTTCACAACATTTTCATATCTAGTGATGGAAGCCTTCAATATTTCAAGATAACACTACAAGTAGCTCAGTGAGATAACAGAGACTCAAATATCTTAGTAGAGTCTAAATTCAACTGGCCTTCAAGGGTTTATGTCACAACAAAACACAGGTTTTTGGGGGAAGGGAGAGGGTATCTGAACTTTCTGAAGTTGTCCCAGAAGTGACACTATCATAGTGTAAACAAAACAAAAAAATAAATATCTGTTATTTAAAATTATAAAGGAATAAAGAAAGAATTCCTTCTGCTAAGAAACACCCCGGACATTATAGATAAAACAAACACAAAAAGACTCTTGAACAGTAAAGAGGAGATAGACCAGCTAGAGATTGCAGAACCTGAGGAATGACACAACAGCAGGTTCTCTGGATTTTCTTTTTACCTCACATATCCCAGAGAAGGTGAAGGAGCAGCCAACCACCCAGCATACCAATGGGCACACAAAAAAAGCACCCCAGTCAGGAATGTCCAAGCAGACAGCCTAGTCTTCCACCCTTCCCCCTCCCCTGGGGTGGGGTCAAAAGAAGGCTCAGTGGGGAGCATGACTTTCATTACCACCAGCAGTAACGAGGCCCCACCACCAGTGTCAGTGGAGGCCACATGGGGAGAAGAAACAAGGCTATTCTATGCTTCCCAGAAAGGACAGTACCAGCAGAGACTTCCAATCCTGCTCAGTGGTAATAAGGCCAAGTGAAAAACCTGGGCTTCCACCCCATCTGGCAATAACAAGATGGCACCCTCCTTTCCCCCACTGGTGTAGTATCAGAAAAGGCCTGCTAAAACACATGATTTAAATAAGATCTACAGTCTCCTAACAATACCCAAAATGCTCAGGTTTCAACTGAAAATCACATGTCAACCCAAGAACAAAGAAAATCTCAACTTGAGTGAAAAAAGACAATCAATAGATACTACCATAGTGATGACACTGATGTTAGAATTATCGCACAAGAATTTTAATGTAGCCATCATAAAAGTGCTTCAACAAGCAATTACAAGCATGTCCGAGACAAATTTTTTTAAAAACCCCCAAAATCTCAAAGAAATAGAAAATATAAAGAACTGAATAAAAACTTTAGAACTGAAAAATATAATAACCAAAATTTAAAAAAACCTACTCAAAAGATGGATTCAGCAGCCAATGGAGAAAAAGAGAAGAAAATCAGTGAACTAGAAGATAGAACAATAAAAATTACCGAATTTGAACAATAAAGAAAAAAACAGACTTAAAAAAAAAATGAACAGAGCCTCAAGGACCTATGGGACTATACCAAAAGATCTATTATGCATGTTATCAGAGTCCTGGAGAGAATAAAGAGAGTGGGGTTTAAAAGTATTTGAAGAAATTAATGGCTGAAATTTTTCCAAGTTTGGCAAAAGATATGAAACCTACAGATTCAAGAAGCTGAGCAAACAACAAATAAGATGAGCTCAAAGACATCCACACCAAGATCACAGACCAACTTTTGAAAAGAGAAAAAAAAATTTTGAAAGCAGAAACCCATACAGAAACGACATTCACATGACAGCAGATTTCTCATCAGAAACTATGGATGCCAGAATGAAGTGGCACATTTTTCAAGGGCTGAAAGAAAAGAACTGTCAACCCAGGAACAAAGGGGCAAATCAAGATATTTGTTGCCAGCAGACCCACCCTAAAAGAACAGCTGAAGAAAGTTTTCTAAACGGAAAGGAAAAGATAAAACAAGGAATCTGAGAACATCAGGAAGGAAGAAAGAATAATGAAAAGAGTAGTAAAATGTGGATAAATAAAATAGACTTTTTTCTCTTCTTGAGTTTTGATGTTTGAAGCAAGAACTATAACAGTGCCTTACGTAGGTCTCAATGTACATAGAAGAAGAAATATTTAGGACAATTATATCATACACAAGCGAGGGTAAAAAGACAAAAGGGAGGTAAGGTTTCTACACTTCACTTGAACTGGTAAAATGCCAACACCAGCAGACGGTAATAAGTTACGTATATATAAGGTAAAGCTAGTAACCACTAAAAAAGCTATGCAAAAAAATACACTCAAAAACACTACAGATGAGTCAAAATAGAATTGTAAAAACTTGTTCAAGTAACCACAGAAAGGCAGAAACAGATAAATGAAAAGCAGAAGGTACAAACAGAAAAAGAAATCCAAAACTAATATTTACCCAAATTTTGAAATAAAGAAGAATTGCTATTGAAGAACTTATCAGGCTACTCAGCTATCTCCAAATACCCGCAGTTCCCCATCTTAACATACTTGTTTCAAGCTGATATGCCTTTGCTTGTGCAGTGTCTTCTGCTTGGAATATACCTGGCAAGCACCTACTCATTTTACAAGTCTGAGGTTAGAAATTATCTCATCTATGAAGCCTTTTCTGACCACTATTTCCCTCCAGTAAATCGATCACTTCCTCCCTTGCCTCCACTAAATCTCAAATATAGTTCTTGCATAAGACCTATAAAGCTTTATCATATGTACCTTTATGCACACCCACCTCTCCCTAATAATCAAGAATTTCTCCTCCTCTGTTTTTGTGTCCCCAATGCCTAACACAGTACCCGGTACAAAATTCATATTCAACATTTCCTGAATGAATGAATAAAAATATGAGAGAAAAACTCCATGCACAAAGATATTCAATAAACATTGTGTAACAGAAAAAAACCCAAAATAGTTAAATAAATTATGGCTTCTACATCAGAAGATGTATAGCCATAAAAAAAGTTTTTAAAGGCTTCTCAAGCAGGAAAAGTCCAGACAATGTTAGAAAAAAGCAAAATATGAAATGGAATATAGCATGATTACAATATGCTTTTAAAAAACTATATATAGAAACATCAAAATATTTATAGTAGTAATATCTGAGTGGCAGTACTATGGGAAATATCAGTTCTTCTACTTTATTTTCCACAGTTTTCTAAAATGATGAGTATATATTACCTTATAATAAAAGTATATATATGTTTTTAATAGGAGTTCAAAAATTAGATTGTGATGATGATTGCACAACTCAATATATAAAAACCAGTGAATTATACATTTTAACTGGGTGAATTTTATGTTATGTGAGTCATATATATCTTAGTAAAACTGTTAAAAATATATGTATCTATTTAAATCTTTATTACAAGAACACAACAATAAAAAAGAAATGCGAAGGAACTAGAAGGAACCTGAGAGATCATCCAGGCCACCACTCCCATTTTGCGTATTAGAGGAAAATTTTGGCTCAAGCCACCAGTTCATTAGTGGCCAAACCTAGACTGGGATTCAGGCCTCCTCCCCACCCAGTGCTTTGTAATACCATTGCTGCTTCCATTCAGACAAAAGGAAATAATTACAACTTAACCTTGACCTGATGAGGTGCTTTGTTTTGTGGCCCCAAGTTCATTTTTAAAAAGTAAGTGCTGCCTCTCCTCCCCCCGCAAACTTTTTCCAAAGAGAATAAAGTATAGTTTCAGAGAGTAAGAGTAAAATCAATGGAAATTTATGTAACAGCAGATTTCAGCTCAATATATATGATAGAAAGCCTTAATAACTATATTTCAATGAAGGAATAGGCATGCATGTGATCACTAAAATTGCTGGAATGCAAGAACTTGGTTAAGATGGGACTAGATGACTTCCAAGATTCCCTCCCAACCAAGACTCTTTATTCTAAAAGAAAGGTCGATATCACTATTATACTACAGTTGCAATCTGTAAATATATCAGTACTGAAATATTCTCAGACAGGCACAGATCCATATTACAATGAATTTTTCCCTATAAAGTTGTTTCAAGGACAGCATGGGTTCAGGATCTACTTAAACTATGAGAAATTGTATTCCTAACAGCTGAATATTTAAAACAGCAAATATTAAAATATCTACACTGAGACTGGCAAATGCACAGTCACTATTCACTACCCCAACTTAACTCATACTTAACATATTAATTAAAAATTCCTTACCATAAAGAACAGACTGGATGGATGTGTGCACTAATTATTTTAGCAATGCCTCTCGTCAAGAAATCCCAGATGACAATTCGGCCATCATTGCAGCCAACTGCAAGCAATGTGCCCCACCTGTTAAAGGTGCAAGTCAGGGCCATGCTGATACAATCCAAAGTTCCATCAGCTTCCTAAAAATTAAAACACATACACATACAAGAATATAGACAATAATAGCCATGTATCCAAATTATTCCTTAAAGGTTCGCTATCATTTATGACACTTCTCTTGAATTTAAATTATAACATATACCAAAATAATTTCTATGTTTTCTTATATTTATTAAACTAGACAAAAGGGAGAAATATTTATAAAACTAATCAAGGATTTATGGAAAAAGATGTGCTCAATCCCTTACATTACCACTATAATTTTGTGCAAACTTTCTGGAGGGCAATGGGCAAAATACAACTTTCATATTAAAGGGGTCATACCTTTTGACCCAGTAATCATAATTCTGGGAATTTATTCCAAGAAAAATAATTTAAAACAAAAAGCTCTGAATAGCCTATATATGTAACATTAGGGAAGTCAAATTCTATCAATATCAAGTCATTTAAAATAATTATAATGATTATTCTGAAATATATTCGAGTGTTGAAAATATTTTTACATTTAAAAAAGTAAAGCACGGGCCGGCCCGGTGGCGCACTGGATAAGTGCGCCGCTTGGGAAGCGCAGCGGCGCTCCCGCCCGAGGGTTCGGATCCCACATACAGACCGGTTCCTGCTCACTGGCTGGGCGAGGCGCGGGAGCAGCACCGAGGGTTGCAATCCCGTTGCCGGTCCCCGGTCCGGTACGGGGGCAACACTGAGGGTTGCGATCCGTTGCCGGACCCGAAAAAAAAGACAAAAAAAAAAAAGTAAAGCACACGTGGGGGCTGGCTGGTGGCTCACTTGGGACAGCATGGTGTTGATAATGCCAAGGTCAAGAGTTTGGATCCCTGTACAGGCCAGCCATCAATAAGAAAAAAATAAAATAAAAGGCACATATACATATTGATTATTACTATGTAAAAACATTGATCAAAGTTAGGAAAACACAGAATAAAATCTACGTACAGATGGTGGTACTGTTTATGAAAACCCTTCAATTAAAGGTTTTTTTTCATTTAAACGGAAATAAACAGCAAGACTTAGAACATCATGGTGAGATTTCCAGCCAATACTGCATATCTATTTCCCCCCTTGCTCAAAATTAAACATTTAGTTCCTTATCATTGCAAAAGCTGTATTATACACTTAATGCTCCTTTGTCAAAAAACAAGGATCAAAAAGCATTTTCCAATCAAACATAAATACTAGATAGTTAGCATGTTCCTAAAATCATGACAAAAGTATAGTCTTACCTCAGGATAGTTCTGCCCAAAAGACTCTGCAACGAAGCAAAGAAAGAGAGTTGATGGAATATGTGTCACATACCAAGGATCATACAGCTCATGAACAATGGCTGGCTAAGTGAAGGGGGAAACTGATGCTCTTTCAGGGGCTCCATGAGGCTGTACCTGTTTTCATTATCTTACTAAGATGATACTTGCCTTTTTTACTCTCATTATCTCATAAGTGTACAGATGAGTTTTCCTGAGACTAATGACCTGTGGATATTGCAACACAGTGAATGCAAAAGCAGATGTGAGAATCCAGCCAACTTCTATTTAGGCAAACATTAAAGAGATTTGTAAAAATGTAAAACAATGTCATTCTTCTCACTATGTTTTGTTTTCAAAAATAAAATAACTGTTTATATATATAAGTAATGAGTTTATTATGATTATTTTAAAATAATAAGCTTTAAAAATATCTCAGTTTTAACTTCTAAATTGGTAAACATCGCTTGATATAACCTTCATAAAGAAAAGCTCTTTGGGGGTCCTCAATTTCTTAAAAGTATAAAGGGATTCCGAGACCAAAAAGCTTGAGAACTGTTAACATATCCAAGTCTAGCAAAAGTCCTCTCACATCCTCTGGGCATTTCACAATTTATTTCCATATTTACTAAAATGAAGAGCAAGGGAAGGCAAGAATCAAATCAGCCAAATTATCTTAAGTCCCAGCTACTCTCTGAAACTTTTATTAATAGCAGCCAACCAGCAGCGATCACTCCCCTTCCTGACTAATAAAATCATTTAGGTTGTAACATAATCTGGTAGTTCATTAAACATGTAATTCCCTCTAGTCAATTCTTAAGCAAACAGCACATGGGTACAGACATCCCTGAATGCATTTCCCCTATTAAATATGGTATTTGTACATTAGCAATAAACATTTCGAGCTACAGTATGATGGTATGATACTGCCTGCTTGTCAGAATATTAATTTTGGCAGCAGCACAATCACTGTCAGTGTTGTTTATTTAACTACCTAAATATTTTATTACAGTGGTTTATAAAACTATACTCTGAGAACTACAGGTCCAATTAAGTTGTTTTACATATAGGGTGTCCAAATAAGACTTCATTTAAAAAAGCAGTCCACTGCTTTTTAAAAAGTTTGAAAAGCAGTTTTATTGCATTTTGTTTTTTATAAAACTTAATAGAAAACTAAAGAGTGAAAAACCTTAAAACTAATCAAAAGAAACACAGGCCCTACAGTTAAGAAAACTGAAAGAAACATGAAAATAAAGGTCAATAATTGCCAGAAAAGGTAAATAATTTGACTTATCTACCATGACCAGACTTAAGGTGACTGACTGAGTTCAATTATGAAAGAAAAGAATGAAAGGAAATGCTGAAATCATAACAAGATAGGCTTTTTTGAAAGAATATTTTTAGTATTACTAAAGTTATACATGTAATATAGAAATGTATAATTAAAAAATGATAGTTTCTCTCCTCCAACTCACTCACCAAGGTAAAAGCTTCCATATGTTTTTATATGCTTATATATTCACATCTTTAAGGTTTGTTTAAAAAACAAAACAAAACACATACAACCTAAAAATATATAGTACTCAGGAAGGAACAGAATAAAACTTGCTGTATTGGGAGAAGGGAAAATCACACATAAGGTTCTGAGAGAATCCAGAATCCAGGGTCATTTTAACGCCAGTTTTAACACAGAATATCCTGTATTTGTTTTTATGTTTTGGGATGGTTTGTTCTTTTCTTTTTTGTGGGGTCGTTCTAGTTAACAGGGTTAAGGAGTTTAAAGGAGCAAAAAGTGACACATAAAATAGACTAAGCTAGTTTGGGGCACTCTGGTTGAAGGACCTAAGCAAGAACTCTGTCAACTAGGGTTATGGGAGTGCAAGGCCATTTCCTCAGAGAACGCTCAAGACCAGTTTGACATTCCCCATCCTTCCACCAGCTACCATTTTGTGCTATAATTGGATTAACGATACTTAGTTTCAGATCATGAGGAGGTATGGGGGAAGATGCCCGAAGACGCCGATGCCAAACAGAACTAAACCCTGCTCAATTAAAACAAACTATAAGAGAGATTTGACTTTGTAATACGCTTGGTAACTCAAAAAACAAATAACTTTTATAGCAAAATATACATTTCCAAAAGTGATTACAGAAGAAAAATTATTGACTGGATGAATGAATAAAGAACACACTGAAAAGGTGTTCAAGACCTATCACCTGAAAAAAAAAGAAGTAGACCCATATAGTTTGATGGGCAATTTCTCCTAAATTTCAAGGAGCAGATCATTATTTATGTTACTCAAACTATTTCTGAGCAGGAAAAAAAGATTAGTTTCTTATAAAGCCAACATAACTCTGACACCAAAACCTAATAAAAACAGTACAGAAAGTAAGAGCTCCTTTCACTTAAGAATATAAATAGTACATGGCATTTCACCTTTAGATTCTGCACTTAAAAAGTAATTTCTAGCAGTATATAACTAAATGCGAACCACAAAGAATCTGGAGTTTGTTATTCTACCATATAAGAAGGCATTATAGCATAGCAGGAAAAAAAAAAAAACAACAGTATTATGGCAAGACCACTCCAAACATCTTCATAGCACAATGCACTCTAATGTAAATTGTTAGTCAAGAATGTTAAAAAACCATACAATCCTATTAATAGACGCTGAAAAAACATTTACTAAAACCTAGCCATTTCCAACAGTATTATGGCAAGACCACTCCAAACATCTTCATAGCACAATGCACTCTAATGTAAATTGTTAGTCAAGAATGTCAAAAAACCATACAATCCTATTAATAGACGCTGAAAAAACATTTACTAAAACCTAGCCATTTCTAATAAAAGGAACAGAAGACTACATAACTGATTTTCAAAAACTATTTACCAAAAATACAAACAATATCATTCCAAAAAGTGAAATATTAAAACCATTTCAGGGCCGGCCCGGTGGCACACTCGGTTGAGTACGGTGCTTGGGAGTGCGGCGGTACTCCCGCCGAGGGTTCGGATCCCATATAGAGACCAGTCCGCTCACTGGCTGAACGCGGTGCGGGCGCGACACTGAGGGTTGTGATCCCGATGCCGGTTGCGGTACGGGCGCGACACCGAGGGTTGCGATCCCGTTACCGGTCACGAAAAAAGACAAAAAGGGAAAAAAAAAAATTTCAATTAATATGAGCAAGATGATATTATTAGTCAATATCATCTTGGAGGGTCTAGCCAAAGGAATGAGAAAATAAAATAATTGGTTTAAACATTAAATGTAAGGAGATAAAAGTTTCTCTCGCTGATATCACTAAATATCTAGAAAATACAATAAACTGTAATTTAAAAAACTACCCAAAGTAATAAGAAAATAAAGTAAGGTGGTTGATACAAGAGAAATATTCAAACATTAACAGTCTTTCTTTACATTAGCAATTAGTACCCAGAAGTGGAAACGAAGGGGTAAATTCCACTCACAATGCTATAAGCATAAAATATTTAAGGCAAAAAATATAATAAGGAAGACACAGGATATGTATGAAGAAAACTATAAAAATCTTAGTTAAGGTCATAAAGTCTAAACAAATGAAAAGCCAGTCTACATTGTTGGATGGAAAAGCTTAATGACTTTCTCCAAAAAATTAATAAGTTTATGCAATTCCAGATAGATTAAAGACAAATATTTTTTTAAAATTTAATGTACATTAAGGCCATTGACATATGATAAAGATGGCATTTCAATTTAGTGGGGAATTTATTTAATACATAGGGATGGACAACTTCCTATTGAGAAGGAAAAAAATGTTACAATTCTTCTTGCATATCACATATAAAAATAAATTTCAGGTAAATTAATGTTTTTAGAAAGCAAAAATCTTAAAAGAAAATCTAGGAGACCACATACATATAAACTAACCAGGTAAATTAAAGAAATGTTTTTAGAAAGCAAAAATCTTAAAAGAAAATCTAGGAGACCACATACATATAAACTAAGGCAGGGAATACCTCAACCAAGAGAGGAAAACCAAAAGCTCTAAAAGAGAAATATATTTGATTATATAAAAATTAGAACATTCTGCATGCTAAAAGTTCCCATCAACAGTAAAAAGATTTAGAAAAAAATCTGCAATTCAGATGACAGATAAGAGTTGATAAATCCAGGGCCGGCCCGGTGGCGCACTCGGTAGAGTGCGGCGCTTGGGAGCGCGGTGGCGCTCCCGCCGAGGGTTCGGATCCCATGTAGAGACCGGTCCGCTCACTGGCTGAGTGCGGTGCCCCCCCCCCCCCCCCCCCTGCGATCCCGTTACCGGTCACGAAAAAAGACAAAAAGGAAAAAAAAAAAAAGTTGATATATCCATATTATAAAGCAAGTTTATACATTAGTAAGAAAAGACAACCAAAATAAAATATATGAATAAGCAAGTCACAGTAGATAAAAATCAGATGGCCTCTACACAAAGGGAAACATGATCAAACTCGGCCGTAGTCAAAGAAATATAAATCAAATTATAAATGAAATGCCACTATCATCCACCAGAAAGGAACATTTAAGAGACAGCACTTACTGCTTGGTGGGGGCAGGAGGAAAGTGGGCAAAGGATACTTTCATATACAGTGCCTATAAAAATGGGAACTGTTACAACCTTTTGAAAAAGAAGTCTATTAAAAGCATAAATATACATAGTCTTCATCTCAGCAAACCTACAACTGGAAGCCTAATCTCCATGGATGTAAACAAGCGGGATTTTTAATGTATTGTTCCTGGTAACAAAAAAAGAAAAGAAAGCCCCCCTCCCCCAAAACTGGATACAAGGTAAATGCCCATTAATAGTGGAATGACTGAATGAATTATGTTATATTTAAATATAGATGATTATACTATTTCTCTCAGAAATTTTCCATTAGTGTCAATAAATGGGGGGTAAAAAAGCAAGACACAAAGTATATATAATATGATCTCATTTTTGTAAACGTGTATGTACACACACAAGTAAAAGAGCATGGAGAGAAATA